CCAGGGTATCTATTCTTGAATCTTAGGGAGTCAAAAATTTGAGGGAAGAATGAGACAAAAATACAAATTTTGTGCGTTGCAGATAAAGAGGAAAAACCGGTTTTCTACTCCCTCGAATTCAAGAATAGCTACCCTGATATTTTGCTTGCTGTTGTCAGTGAATATTATTTTTGAAGTCACAGTTTATTGCTAAAGAATCAGTTAGCTCACTCGGACCAGATTAAAGTTCCAAAATAACATCCACTCCAGGGATACAAATTCAGGATACGCAGAAGACTGCTGTTTTATTATAGGCGGTTGTCATATATTGTATTATCCGAGTTGCACAGTGTATAAACTGGAACATTGAGATCAAAAGTGTCGACGCAGAGTAAGCGATCTTTAGCTGTAAACTGTGTCACAGGAATCAAAATGGCCGCGCCCTATGTTGGGCGTGTCGGACTTCTCTCTTGCCCCGTATAGTAATAGTAATCAAAGTATGTGCTTGAAACTGATGGACTCACCAATGAACTGGAGTGGGGTAGAATGCTTGTGAATAGGCTTGAGATGCGACTCTATGGGCGAAGACAGGTTATTTTTCATCTCACTCGAGAGTATTTATAACAACCATTTTCTATTTCACTTTGTTATTGTCTGATCCACCAGCTTGTGGATTGAACAATAACAATGTGAAAACGTCATCTGATAACGAAATGAAATATGCTCCAAAGGCAGGTAACAACATTGTACTTTACCAAATTGCACCTGTGCCAATCCCTATCCTGAGCAAAGTGGTTAAAAAAATTATTTTATATTCAAAAAATCACATAAAACATGACAGCGACAATTATGTTTTCCCTGAAAATTACAATCCTAATTCATAGTAAACCTAGCTTTTAAACCTGAATTATTAATTTTTTTACCTACCTTTTAAACCATGTTTATGTATAAAAGGAAGAAGAATGGCATTGTATAAACCATTTGTAGAGATAGTCAATAATAATTATTATAAACTCTTGTTAGACAATTATTTTAAACCATAATCATAGTAGTTTTTTTGTCGTTTCTATGGCAACCTGTAAAAATGAATCACAACAATAGGCATACAAATAAATATTTAAATTAGCAAAACATTGATTCATATTTTTAATGATATTTACCTACTAATAAAAAGAAAAGAACTTATCAAATTTATTCAAACGAATAAATAGTTTACAGATTAAAATTTCTTTTAATTCTCACATACCACAAGAAAAAATGACAAGTGACATTTTTTTCATGTTTTGTTGACTTATGACAAACGAATCACTACGTTCGATTACAAGATGATGTTCATAGTACTTCTCTGGGTGTATATCGAAAATGGCTAGATTTATCGAATTAGTTCATAAAACAAAATTTGCTTAAAAATGCATTTTCTACAAGATGCGCTACGTAAGAAAGACCCTCCCTTCAAAAAAAAATTATTGAGAGCAGCGCCATCTACATATTGACCTATTTACAATTAAATTATATCTAAAACTAAAGCTCTCTTAGTGCTCTATGAACTGGCTTTTACAGAATTAAAATGTCTCTATTTCTTACCAAAATATTCGGCCTTTTTATTGGTATACCCTGCATAAATACTTAATTGAACAATTTTGGTACTCGATTTAATCACTCATTTAGAGACGAGTTTTTAGCATGCGAGCCAGATTTGTTTAGCTAAAACCTGAATACTAGCTCAATAACTGCGTGTCAATATTTAATTTCAGCATTAAACAAAGAGTTAGATCAATCGTATTGTTTGTTTTAAATCTAGTTAAACAGTCAGACCATGTCTTAAGATTTTTGAAATCATTTTGCCTTTTTCGTGAATATTTTCATCAATCAATCGGGCCTTTGCAGTGTTAGTGTTAAATATTCTACAACAAAAACAAAACACTGAATTTCTCGCTACCGAGTATAGAAACCAATCACGCTTGAAATTTTTCATTATTTGGCAAAATTCAAATGAAGTATTATTCAGAAAATTTTCCCCGCCTTGTCTTTATCAAAAACACAATTTGAATAATTGTTATAATAGGTTGGACCATTTTTTAACAGAAGTTTTATCAATATACAAAGGTAGGATATAATACTGTTTTTTTTTGTAGAAAAATTTTATTATACGATTTTGGATTACATATTCAACCAGCGAATTGTAAATAATAATTAGTAAACTTCCAGTCATAAATTTCCTTAATAAATAAAATTTAAAAATGAATCTTCTTACCTTGGTACCGAGGTATTTTATTGTATTTTTTATTTTAATTATTTGTAGGTTGAAAGAAGGCCTTTGTAAATTACATTGTTCTCTATGGATCTACTTTAACACAAAAATAGTTTTGTGGCTATAAGTTGCTATAACCTATCATCGCAAAACTATTAATAATTTAAATATAGTAAGTAGTAGTATTATTATAACATCAAATAATTATTTAAAATAAAGTACATGATCTCAAAATAAAAATAATTTATAATAAATGCGGGTAAAACGAGGGTTAAAATAACAATAAATTAAAGGAAATACTTAAAAAGGGCAGGTTTAAAGAGTATTATCACAAGAAAGTATATCCGTTCTGTTTATTTATCAAGTATTGTTTGAGGTTACTTTTGAATACATTTATTGTTTTTTTTTTTAATTTCTGTAGGCTATTAAATTTTTTAAACCTTTAATAAAAATTGTATTTTGGGAACTTTTACTGATGGCTTGCCATACATGAAAGTCAGATTGGCTTCTTGTACTTTAGTTGTGCATGATATTTCCAATTATATTGAATTTTTTCTAATAGATCTGATGCAATGGTACTATGTCATTTTTATTTTTTAAATAAATATCAGTCATACTGAATGTAATTTTGAACTAAAAGCCAATTTATTTCTTTTAATATAGTTGCAATACTCATCCTTCTGTCCTTTATTAATATTATATTAACAGGCGAAGAAAGAAGCCCAAATATTTTACATAAGCAGGCTTAAGAGGTAAAGGGGCCAATTATTATTGGACAAGTATTAGAAATTAAAAATTAAAAAAAAACGTGCAGATGCCATCACCACATCTTAACAAAATTTATATGGAACCACCCCTGAGGTACCCCCTTACTAACAAAAAAGAATCATATAAATCGGACAAGGTAAAGCTAAACATACATAAAAAAAAAATATCGCGACGAATTGAGAACCTCCTCCTTTTTTGAAGTCGGTTAATAAATTGCTCAAACAAGTTTGTAAACCCTAATCAAAAGGCGATATAGAATGGTTTTAACAATCAAAGGTTATGGAAACCATCACATGGTTTAACCTAATTAATGCCAATGCTTCACAAACCAAAAAATTCAACGTCCTAATACTACTATCGGCTTTCGGCCTTTCGTTCCAAGTTAAATCATTTCTCGTTTTTGTTACGCTACGAGTTTAGCCTTGTGGGCCTCAGTCTCGATAAGATGGGAACCATCATTTTAGCGTCTCTCGAATTTTTAGAAACATTCTTTACTTTAGTTTAACTTTACATTCTCGCAATTTTACACCGTTTTCTACTAGAAAAAAAACTTTTACAAAGACCCATCCTCTTCCGCAAGTGAGATTTGGAATGATTTATCTTGATCCCCTCCACCCCTTGAACACCCCATGTAATTAATGGATGCCCTCAAAGTTTCTTTTTAGCTTCTTTAGATATATAAAAAAATCATACAACATGACATTTTCGGATCGGGATTTGTAGAATCTAATTAATTTATACTCAAGAATTATTACGATCTACATATTACATCAATTTTAACTTTATACTTTACATTATATTATCTTAAACATAGGACCGAAAACTTTTTGATTCCGAGAGTGTGTTAAAAGTAAAGTCCTGATGACACATTTTTGTAAATATTTTCAAAACTTTTAAAGATAACTAAGTGAAATTTGGTACAAATGCTAAAATTTTTACACTATATTTAATAGACTAGACGCTAGTTTTCGATCATCTTCATAGGTGGGTAAATTAGGGGAGGGGCTTAGGGTTAAATTGTCCAACTTTTTTTGTTGACTATTTTTAAAATTTTTGACTACAAAATTTGGAAAACCATTGTACCATCAGGACTTCACTTGTAACACCTTGTATCTCGAAAACAAAACATTTTTAGACATATGTTTATATTTTACTTTTATTTTAAGATGTAGATTACGCTGTTAAAATATGACCGTCTAATTTCGGGATACGCTGCATATCAGGCTACTTAATGGAACTAACACTTCCAGCTTCCACAAAAAGAACAAAATTTTAAATAGGTATCTCTTTTTTGACTGATGCGATTTGTTCTACTACTTAAGACAGAAGCCAATGCACTTATGAAAATAAATTCTTATTAAAAAATTGCAATGCCATTGCTAGAGGCCAAAAGACAGGAATAAAATTGTAAAAAACACGTAATAGAATAAAATACGCAACAGACTGGGCCAAGCAACTTAAAGAAGTCATGTTTGACTCTATAGATATTCTAGTAATACATTTTATAAATTATTTACTTAGATTTTATTACCTACTTGCGATTAATCTTAATTTTAGCATACACGGCTCAAAAACATAATTCTTCTAACTAGTTGTTCAGGCATTGGTAAAAATAAAAAAAATATTTTCAGCGCCTCTTGTGTAACGGCGCCGTCGTGCGCCGTACGACCTGCACATATTTTTTCAATGGCTCTTCGTACTAACATGGTTTGCTCTCATTCGGTTATGTTGTTATTTTTCAAGTAATGCTTAGAATAGCATCTTCCTTTTTTTTCTAATAGAGAGTGACAGAAGCGACGGCATAAGATCTAGTGTACCTTTCTCCTACCTCCAAGATCTACATGAAGCACGGCATTTACATTATAAAAACATAACAGACGAGAAAAAAGTACCTACTGCAAATTCAAACTATTATGTTTCCTATGTTTATAATGTAATTTCAATTGAATCAAAAAATTCCAGTAACATGGTAGGAAGGAAAACAAATAAAAATCAAAAATTAAAAAAAAATTATAAATGTATTTGTTACATAAAATTAAAAGTCTTGTCCTATATCACAAAATAGCTCAGCGATACCATCATTTAATGTGTAAGTATAAGTAATTTAAGTACAAACTAATTTAGTTTAAACAATAGATGTAATCAGTACAAGTGAAGAAAATATAAGAATACAATTTAGCTCACTTTTACGCAGTTTTACAGATGAAGCTTTATCGGAATGTGTACAATACGCAAGCGGGCGAAGATTCTTTCTTCGCAAGTGCTGTAAGTATACCGTTTTGTTTGATCCTACCCTTCAACTGTTCAGAATTATTTCATTGTGTAATAAATATTTGCCCTCAATCTATCATATCAATAAAATGTCAACAAAAAGTTAAGCGTAGGTAGACTTCAGCTCTTAGAACAATGCGCGACGCAAAATTCAATCTGCTGAGCGCTGGGCAGGTTCCCTGAAATCTAACATTGTTATTACTATGGGAATAGTTTGTTAGCCTCAGCACAGTTAGGCAGACATCAGTTTACGTCGAAATCATCTTGAATTTGACTTGGACGCATTCGTTCAGCTAAGAATGCAGTAGACTGTCAAGTGAAATGAGATTAGGATAGTTTGTGATAATTAAAGTGATAAAACGTCAATTTTTTTTCTAAAGAGGCTGAAGTATTAATAGATATGCATTTCTCAAGTGAAAAGCAGAAATTGCACAATTCGTTTTCATCTTTTTATTCCATTGCAATAATCGCTACTAACTTGTTATTTGATTCATGGTAACTGCATGTATCAACAGAACAAGTTAAAGTGATTTATATTTGAACAGACCAGTTCAGACGTGAGTCGAACGCGACAGATTCTGGCGTACGAGTACGGCCAACGTCGCGCACTGTTCTAACAAACCGTAGCTTTTTTTGATCATAATCATTAATCCAGTTATTTTTTAAATATATATTCATATTAAACTTTCTTATACGGCTGATCAAACTTGACAAACTAGCGGTGGAAGCCTTCTGCGTTTATGTAATTTCTATGTCGGGAAGAGGAATTCCAAATTTTGTCATTTGAATTTTGTCCTGGAACGAGAACGTAAAAAAAGGTTATATTAACAAATTGCTTATTTCATTTGCCTCGGACGATTTGTAAACAATATTTGTATTTATTGTTACAAAAAAAGCTAATAAAACATTCAACTTAAGTGGGCCGGTCCCCCAATGCAGTTATGCACAATGCCAACCGCCATCAGCCAACATGCGACTGAAATATTTAAAAAACTAATCCTAGCCACTCGATCGATGGCCCCGTTTAAACGTATTAAACACGTACTCTCTGCATGTATGACGTAAGCGTTTCAATATATTGCTATGCTAGCCGAGCGGGCCGTTGTGCGATGTGGCTCGGACGAAATATAGTCAGTCCAGTGAGATGAATTAGTCGATTGAATTATTTGTTGTGTCTTGAAATAACATGTTCTCTCTTCTGTGGAATAATCGAATTTTATCATCGGCATCAAAAACATAATGATACATTATTTACATAATATGCCTCGTTTAGCCATTAGAGCCAACAATTGTATAATTATTGAACTAAAATAAAACATAAATATTGACCGACATATTTTGCGCTAGTGCCATGGCCCTGTGGACCCTTAGGATAAGCCGCCACTGGACGAAGGTATTTTGACTCACTTACTTTCGACCACTCGTTTCCATAGAAACAACTTAAGTAAGAAATAAATCCTAATAATTACTCCAAACAAATATTGTGAGTTAACCTATAATAGTTTAACAGTTTTTCACAGAGTTTTCTGGTACTTCTGACAAAAATCGATTAACCCTTTGCTGAAATTCCAATGTACTTTCAGATTTTGGTAAATTGCCATTTTCTTTTGTCGGCAAATATTTAGCTAGTTTGACATTAGAAGGGAAACGATCTATAATATCTTGTGGAAAGACGCATTTTTTGTTACCCTTTTGTTCTGTACTAACTTCTACGTGTCTTCCAACTTTATTAAAAATCATATCATCTGGATAACCAGATTTCATTCCTACGTAAGCAACTTTTGACGCTAAGAACGACCATATTAGTCCAATCGTTGATAATATTGTAATGTTCATAGCTAAACTAAAAGTTATTGGCGTTACTCTATTAACTTCGTAAGTGTAGGTGTCATAATCATAATCTAAGTTGATACAGGTAAACACAGAAATTAGTAAAGCTATTGCTGCAGTAAGAGATGAAAAAGCTGACGCTAAAAAGAAAAGTGTGATATTATGATCAATGTACCACTGCTTCCAGGCTAACACACCTAGTCCAAAAGCTAGAATATAACCAAAAGCCATTAAAAAGCAACCCGAACACATAAGAACTGCGACATTAATATACATTTCTGAATTTTCATTAAGTACAACATGTAAATGTTTGTTTTGTTCCAATATGATATCAAGATCCCTATCGACCTTTTTATATAATTTTAAAAGTTGGACCTGCATTTTATTTGAATTATTTGGATTTAATTCAGTCAAATTTACTATTTCCGTAGAATTAACAGTAACTTCTTCGGTATTATTCTGATCCGGGATATTATTTATGTACGGGTGTACAGTCATCTTGTGCAATATCAAAGTTCCCATTAGAATTGAGTAAAAGAAGAGTTGAAGAAATACCACGCTAAGTCCAATAACCATTGATGCTGAATATCGTCGTTCAGAGGGGTAGGTACTTATTGGTACCCTATCCGTTTTCGTTTTTATTTTGAATATTCTTTCCATTTTGAGAAGATCTAAATGGCATTCTGAAAGAAAAATAATAATAAATTAATTTTCGTGTAATGTTTTAATGTTATCGCATTCATTCAGAAACTCCCAAAAAAAATCAAGTCGGCACATATCATAAACATTTGGTTCAACAAAAAAGTTCATAACTCGAAAACGACGTCTCTAGGGACTTTTTTGTAGCATTTGTGCTTATTTGTTTGGTTGGTTTGGCTGCATGTACCGAAATTTTTTTAAGAATAAAAAGTTTATCGATTACTGAAAATTTCATTACACTTTTGGGCAATTTATACTTGTAATAATTGGCATTATTATCATTTGAAAAATATAAAGAATTTACCAAAAATTCTAAATAAGTATTTTAATGTTTTAAATTAAAAAGGAAGACACGTATGAAAATAAAATAAACAATCAGGTTATTAATCTAGTCAATGGCTACATTGAGCGTGACATTTTTAAAAAATACAACCATCACGTAAATTTTGGTTTGTATAGAGAGGAGACAGAAAGAAAGACGCTCTCGAGTAAACACTCTCAATCGAGTTCGAAGGGCGAAAGCTCTCGTTTTTTTTTTTTGGAGCTCTTTAAGTCCCAAAACAATGTGATGTGTAGAGTAAAGTTTTGTGTACGATTTGTAAATTATGGGTAAATATTTTTAACTTAATTTTAAAGTGTTTGTTTAATAATAATTGATTGATTTACACATAAATGCCAATTTTACATTTTCGTCACGAATTATCATATTTTTTATCGTGTGCATATTTTTATATTATTATGTAGTTATAGTGCTTTACTCCCTAAATGGAATTTTATTTATTTTTTCTTAAGACTATTAGTCAAATTTTATATTTATTGTTAATATACATTTGTTAATGTTTTAATACTTATTATTAATCTCTCCTCCCTTTCCAAACCAGTAAAATACTCCGAGCATTTGAGAAGCCTCGGCGTTTCTTTTCCCTTAGGACTAAGAGAGTCTAAAACTAGTTGCCAAGAACCGCTCGAATATGCTATTAGGGGATAATTTTTATTCTTTTAATTTAATTTTTTTATTATTTTTTATTTGCCATTGGTGAATGGATGTTCCTTCTGGACTCCAGGACCCTTTGGTTGGTGACGGCTCTGCCTTAATCCCTGTATATTAACAACAGTAGCTAAAGACCTGATCTAAAGGATCTGAGCTAAAGATCAGTAGTTACAAATGGTCTTTGGGCTAGTTGGTTGTTAAATTTGGTGACATTTAGTGACATTTGGAGTGAGTTTGGAGTGAGGGTAGCCATATGTGAGTAGTAGGGATTAAGTATAAGGGGTTAAAGAAAAGGTCCTTTATTTCTCACAAGTCAATTTTAATTGGCGACCGGTTTAGTGACAAGTGGTGGTCTTTAGGCCTCCCGGTTGTTACATTTGGTGACAAGCGTTGGTCCTTTAGACTTCCCGGTTGTTACATACTCGTATTTTATTAATTATTTAAACAAATTTATAAAAAATGACTTTTAATAGTTTTATCTCAGTTAGTTTCCGAATATGAATGATGAAAACTCAAAAAACGGAATTTTTAAAAATTTATCAATTTGCTTGTATTCTTTTTCAGTAATTTAAGCCTAGAACACAAAAATTGTCAATCTCAATTTTGAACATAATGTTCACCTTTAAAATCCAAGGAATATCTGGTTATATATCAGAAAAAAAAATTACACATTTTTGGGTCGATTTAGCTCCATAAAGTATGAATTAATTTAATTTATTCTGTTACTACGTCAGTGGCGGCTGGTGTATAAGTTCTATAGAGCTGCAGAACTGTCAAAAAAATGCAAGTAAAATATTCGTAAAATAAATATTATAAATTATTGTGATGTTTGTTTATTTTCAAACAACAGTTTATTTATTAATAATTTATTTAAACACTTATTTATTTTATAACACAACTATTTCCAATGTCTTTGAATCGTTCACTATTTATATTCACAGTCTAATTACTTTATTGTCAGCTGTCTATATATCACTGATTACTATTTATCTTCACTGTTCATATAATACTGAATCTGATGGCTCATCCACCAATATTTGTATACAAATTTCTAAAATTTGGTGGAGTCGAGAAGCTTCTCCACCAAACTAGAAATATTTCGAACAGTCCAGAAATATTATCTCGTCCTTTCTCGAACATCATCGAAATCACCTTCGCCATAGTCGTCTCATAGGTTTGGTCTTAAGGGGTTTAATTATGTATAATAATCGGACAAGTTGAGCCTTAAAGGCCAAATAAGACAGAGATGAACTTGTAGGGTTAGAGCATGACTGAATAATGAAATGGCTCACATAACATTGCCCCCTCCTTAAGAGATAGTTCCTCCTGGAACTCTTACGAAACTAAACTGGAATGGTTGTATTTGCAACTGAATCCTCTTTTACAATTTCCAGTTGCATGGAAGTAACAAGGGACGGTCTTGGCTGTAACCTGGGCACTGGGCGAATGGCTGCAGACCAGTATCTGAACTCCGGTATCTTGAAAGATGACTTCCACCATGTTCCTAATGATCCTCCAATCCAGTTGATTTCCTTCTATCTTTGGCATGGCTAGTTTCTGTACATTGGACTCCCGCACGTGCTCCCTTAGACTAAGTAATGCTTCCCATACATCCTGATAGGTGTATCGATCTTGGAAATTGTTCTTCGTTATTAAATAGAAAAGATAACGCGACCCGTCTTGAAGTTTCAAGGCTTTTCCAGGGGCTGGTAACTGACATTGAAGTTCTACCAGTCGACCAAACTTCTTACGGGACACATATGCCAGTCCTCTCGCGTCGTTGATGCTGGCGGAAGTACTATGGACCAGCGAGTAGTCTTTCGGAAGCGAGAGCAGATCTTGTTGTTGCTTGGTCGTAACACCATATCTGGCTTTTACAGTACCTCCATATGCACCCATAAATTCTTCAAAGACAAGGTCTGGTGTTTCTTGAAGTTGGTTTACTTCTTCTTCATGGTCACCCTCAAATGGCGCCAGCCTGTTTTGGTGCACTACCTTTGGTTTACCTTTTGGAATCTTACTTATACGGTAAATTACATCATTTATTTTATTCTTGATGAGGTACGGACCTTCCCAAGACCTTTGAAGCTTCGGAGAATAACCCTTTTGTCTTTTTGGGTTATGGAGCCAGACTTTGTCGCCTTCTTTAAAACATCCTTCTGTTGCTTGGGTATCGTATCGCTTCTTCATTCTGTCGCTGGCGATTTGAAGATGGGAGCGAACTAATTCATGCATGTCGTCCATTCTTCTTTGTAACTGGATCACATAATCTTCACCAGCTACATCTTCTCCAGGTCGGCATCCAAACTCGAGGTCGCACGGTAGTCTCATCTCACGCCCAAACAAGACCTTTGCTGGTGTTTGGCCTGTTGATTCATTGACAGCGGATCTATAAGCCATTGCAAAGAGTGAAAGATACTGATCCCAATCTCTCTGATGGTTTGAAACCACTTTTGACAGATGTTTGCCAATGTTCTTATTCATTCGCTCTACCATTCCATCGGATTGTGGGTGCAATGCTGTGGTTCTGGTCTTCTTCATGCCTAGTCTGTCACAGATTCCACGAAAAAGTTGACTTTCAAAATTTCTGCCTTGGTCACTGTGGATCTCCAAGGGCACTCCAAATCGACAGATAAACTCTTTTATCAATACATCTGCAACAGTTGCGGCCTCTTGATTTGGAATGGCATAGACTTCCACCCACTTTGTAAAATAATCCATAACCACCAAAATGTATTTATTACCATCCTCAGTCGCGGGGAATGGTCCAGCAATATCTAAGGCAATCCTCTCAAATGGGCTACCAACGTTATATTGCTTAATGGGAGCCTTCCTTTTTCGTTGAGGTCCATTACTCATAGCACAGGTGGTACATTTCTTACACCGGTCCTTTACATCATCGGAACTGTTCATACAGTAAAACCTTTCTCGAACTCTCTGAAGGGTTTTCCTAACACCGAGATGTCCTCCTGATGGACTGTCGTGTAACTGACGGAGTACTTCAGCTACTCTACTTCTTGGAATGACCAACTGTCTTCTGTTCTCGGAACCGTCATCATTTTCCAGTACTCGCTTTAATAAGCCATCTTCCAGGATAAAGGAGTTCCACTGAGTCAAATACGACTTAAGTATTGGAGAGAGATTAGATACTTCTTGCCAAGTAGGTCGACGATTTTCCTCTTTCCATTCTCGTATCTTCTTTAAGACGGGATCATTCTCTTGTTCTTCCCTAAGTTTGACAGGGGCCCACTCATCGCTGACAACTGACGTTCTTCGTACTGTGACTTCTTTAACAGATGTGGCCAACCCCTTTCCAATCAGAGTTCCTTGACCAACACCTTTATTGCGCTTCGAAGGTTCCGCCATGACAGGCGTTGCCTTCTCTACAGTTCCTTGAAACCGCCTTACTCGTATGGTTTCACTACTTTCAGGTAACACGGTTTCTTCCTGTACAGCCACCGGCACGGTTTTTCGATTCGTAGTGTTCTTTGGACGTTTGTGCGAACTGCTTACTTTTCCCATTTCACCGCAATTCCAGCACCTAATAGTCTTCGGTTGCTTCTCAATAAGACTTTTTATCATGTGAAACAATTGGTCCAATTTATTTTCCTGTTCTTCTTCTTTTACAGTCCTTACTTCACTGTATCCACCAGAAGCCAGCGTAGCCGCTTCATATTCAAGAGCAGCGGACAAGACATCGACCAATGTTTTGTGACGGGCTAAACGAAGTGTTCTTTGCATTTCATGGTCACGAAGTCCATCTACAAATGCTTGAACAGCCAAACATTCCATCATGTTTTCTGGAGCTGACGGGTAGGCAAATCGCACCATCTTCGCAATATCTAATTCAAATTCTTGAAGGCTCTCGTCACGTTTCTGTTTGCGATTCTTCAACTGTAATCTGTATACCTGCTTCAAGTGTTCGTGGCCATATCGCATATTTAGTCTCTTTTTGAGTAGCTCAAAATTATCTGTCTCTTCCACGGGTATAGT